AAGATTGTGCCATTGCACTCTAGCCTGGCAACAAAGCAAGACTCCTTCTCAAAAAAAAAAAAAAAAAAAAAAATTAAGTGGGCCACCCTGTATTAACTCCTAGCTTGTGATACATACTTATCAAATCAGTAAGGCATGAAGATGTGCTAACAAGTAGTTGTATAACTTTTCTAAGTTTCTTCACTTCTTTCTTTCATTATATAATGAAACACAAGGATTGATCTTTTAGTATAATTTCCTCTTGGTTTGTTCTCAGTAGCTTTGTTTTGTTTTGTTTTTGTTTTTTTTTGACGGAATCTCGCTGTTGTCGGTCAGGGCTGGGGTGCAATGATGCAATTTTGGCTCACTCACTGCAACCTCTGCCTCCCGGGTTACAGCAGTTCTCCTACTCAGCCTCCCAAGTAGCTGAGATTATAGGTGCCTGCAACCACGCCTGGCTAATTTTTGTATTTTTTAGTAGAGATGGGATTTCACTGTGTTGGTCAGGCTGGTCTTGAACTCCTGACTTCAGGTGATCCATCTGCCTTGGCCTCCCAAAGTGCTGGGATTACAGGCGTGAGCCACTGCGTCTGGCCTGCTCTCCGTAAGTTTTGAGGCCAGAATATAAGGAGATTGGCTTAGTATTAAAATTAGATTTGTGACAATAATAAACCACTTTAGGTATTTGTTGTGTGTTGAAATAGTTACTGAGAAAGATTTTGATCTGTTTTCCCCAATAGATCAGAAAGCTAGGTAATATCCTTTTCTTCTAAATGTAGGCTAGGCAGGATTGTTGTCCAGTTCCATGGGAAACAGGGAACTGTTTTGATGTTACATATAGATTTTGGCCACCATTGTTCAGTACTGAGAGGGAAGCTCATTTAGAATTTCATTGTTTTTCCCTCACTAAAGGAGATGAATAGCAAAGGGAAAAATACATTCACATGTTTCATATTTTAGTTTATACTAACAAGTGATAAATTCAAGAATGTGATTTGAGAGAAAATGTTCAGGCTCTAGAAAGTTATTAAAATACTTTGTAATTATTTCTTGGACTTAGAATGATAGTTTTAGTAACATGTCTATTTTGAAGGCTCTCACCTATGGCTCGTCAGAATATGTCTCAGCCTTGGAGCAGTGCCTGTAATACTAGAATGGGTAATGGTTGGAGTTACCTAACACAGCCAAAGGTTTCTCTGTGAGTTTTTTTGTACTCAAAGCACTGAGAGCAGAAGGAGAAGGAACCTATGTGAAAACTACATTTTAAAAGTAATTGCTGGAAATAATACATTATATAATATATAAAATACATCTTTTGCTAAGAAGCTGACTTTTGATCTAATTCTGCTTGTTTTTTTATCTGGAGCAAATGAGGCCTGTGCTAACTGGAAATGCTTATTTTGAGGAAGGGGGGAACAGATTTGAAAGAAACAAATTAAATGCAATAAATAATTCCTTGTACTCTATAAAGCACTTAATAGCTGGAAATAAAATGAGAGCTAATAGTTGTTGAGCATTTACACCAGGCATGAATTATCTCAATTACATCTCTCAATTACTCTGTGGAATAGGAGTTATTATCTCTATTTTGCAGATCAAGAAACCGAGGACTAGAGAGGTTTTGCCACTTTATTGTTTAAAGAACACAGGTCTGATTGATGGTTGACCCTGTTACTCATTCACCAGATATCTATTAGCCTTTCTCTGTATTTTATTATTCAAGCAGAATTCGACAATTGAAAGAAGCAGGAGGTATGCTTAGGAAATAAGAGAATAGTTAGCCTACAGTTTATGTGTAGCCTAACTAAAATTGAAAGTGGTCTTTTTTATTCTCAGACTAAATACAATCTTACAGAGTTTTATGTAACTGTTGAACTCTTCATCATTATGCCTCATCTTCATAGGAAAACATCTTTTACTGAGAGGATATATTAAAGGTGCCACATTTTAGAAAAATTCATAGGAAGGGACAAATGGTTTAATTCTGCAGAAAAAATAAATCAAGGCTGAGCATGGTGACTTATGCCTATAATCACAGTGCTTTGGGAGGCTGAGGCAGCAGGATCATTTAAGGCTAGAAGTTTGAGACCAGTCTGGGCAACAGAGACTTTGTCTCTTACAGAAAATAAAAAACTTAGCTGGGGGTGATGGCACGCCCTGTAGTCCTAGCTACTTGGAAAGCTAAGGCAGGAGGATTGCTTGAGCTTGGGATTTCCAGGTTACAGTGAGTTATGATTGTGTCACTGCACTCCAGCCTAGGTGAAACAGTAAGACTGTGCCTCTGAAAAGAAAAATAAAAAATAAAAATTAAATCACCATTTATAAAAGATGTATTATTAACTTTTATGACACACATCATTTGATCAAGTGAGCACATTGCAATAGGAGTGTAAACTTGGAGGAAAATCAGTTCTTAGAGCAATTGGATACAACTGTGCTATTGGGGTTGTCCTAGAACACACCAGGTTTTCTGAGGTATTGCTTCATCCCATGTAGCACAGGGAATAATGGAGCCAGAGAGTGCAGTAAGGACAGTGGGCACACAGACATGACAAATAACTGGTTTTATATCAGAGGATTCCTGGTATTAGAGAGGAATTCAGGATTCTTTACACTGAATCTCATTTGCATTACACTGAATTTGTGGGGAGTCCAATGTTTCTTTGTTTATGAGTCTCTCTAGGAATATTGGCCTAGAATTATTTCCAAAAGGGTTTCAAGAATTTCCTATGATGGCTAGATCTGTGTTAATGTATTTTAGGATTCCTTTCCAAACTGGAGGAGTTCAGGACTAGAATGAATGATGAGTGACTGTAGGGTTTCCAAGGGGAAGAAGGAGTTTTCTTAGACTGGTCTGCGTTTTTTGTGCAGGTGTGCCAATTTTAGGAATGGGTATAAATTTAATCTAAGTTGGGGTCTCATGATCTCTCACTATAGAGAAAAAAATCCCTAGGTTTATCTAGACCAGAACTTCAAGAGTTTTTAGCCCAGAGTTGCCTGGCTCCTGTTTTCCTCATTACAGTGGATTCCCTGAAGTATGCACTAACTCTTATGGCTTTAGACAGCTCTAGGGAGCCAAGCTGAAAGGCAGTCAGATGGAGAGGGAAAGAGGTAAGTTAGCTGGTTGAGCTAAAAAGGATCAAGGCTCGAACAATCCGTATTTGTAGCACCACGAGGAAAAAACTTGTCCCAAATTTGACTCTCTTTCTGCACCTCAGTTCCTTACACCACTAAAGTGCTTCTTATTGTAACCTCATTTATTCTTTAAGTCACCAAGATGTAACTAAACTCATCATTTTACAAATGTTGAGGGTTCTGCGTGGAGAAGGTGCTGATCCTGGGCATAGTTTTGCATCTAGCCGTTTTATGAGGAACTTCTTTTTTTTTTTTTTAACAAGGTGGCAGACTAGGTAACCTGAAGCCTTGCCTACTACAAAATCTTTAGAACAGCTGGAAGAGATGAAGCAACTCGGTATACTCCTTTGAAATGTGTAGCTGAGTTTACCCAAAGGTCAGGAAAAATCCCAGAGGACAAAAATGCAGAAGGATCTGAAAACTGGGGCAGTAAGACTATGAACTGATAGATGAACTCAGATGCTCAGTGGAGTTGACTTAGGCACTTGAATTTTAACCTTTATGTAGGGACCAGAAACAAGGATTTGGCTCATATTAATTGAAAATAGAAGTTTCCACACAGATGGTCCTGCAAAGGGCTACAGTGGGAGCGGGGGGTGAAGTGGAAAACATGTACCTGTTAGCAGCACTGAATCATTGGATCTGCAGCAAACTGGATTTTTGCCTCATTGGAGGAAAGAATTCAGCTAAGGGACTTAAGGCAGAGTGAGAGATTGAGACAAGTTTTAGAGCAAGAGTGAGAGTTTATTAAAAAATTCTAGAGCAGGAATGAAAGGAAGTAAAGTACACTTGGAAGAGGGTCAAGCGGGCAACTTGAGAGATCCAAGTGCCCCATCTGACCCTTGACTTGGGTTTTTATACATTGGAAGGGTTCTGAGGTTTGCATTTCTTCTCCCTTGATTCTTCCCTTGGGGTGGACTGTTTGCATGCTCAGTGGCCTGCCAGCACTTGGGAGGGGCTGCATGTGCAGTGTGTTTACTGAAGTTGTGTGCATGCTCATCTGAGGCATTTTTCTCTTACCAGTCAAGTGTTCCCAGAGGAAGGTCATATTACCAGTTAAACTCTGCCATTTGGTCTGTTAGTGCACATGATTGAGCCCACTAGCCCAACTTCTGAGACCTTATGGGGAAGCTGCTGATCACCAGGAGTTTGCTGTCTGTTCGGAGACTCCCTT